AGAAATGTAAAAAAAAAAAAAAAATACATTTTTGGTTCACTTGATATTTAAACAATGTAAAATGCTTAAATTTAGATACCAATACTTAAAATATTCAAACTATTCTTTAATTGTTGCCTAGCAACTTACTCATCCATCCTGTCTTGTCTGCTATGACAAGCTTTTGTTATATAAACTCTTCACAGATATTATGATATATTGCAATGTTTTAAATTTAGATTTGAAATTCTAAAAGATGGAAATTTAAAACTGCCAAAAACTAAATAAAATTTTAGAAATTGACATTACCAACTTTTCTTCTCGTACCACAAAATTACAAAGGTAAAAAACAATTCAATGAACAAAGCACATGAAACCAATTTCCAGCAGAATTTTACAAGAAAGCAAATGTTTTCGACCGAAAACATTTGCTTTCTTATATACCCGGTTTTGAGTAGTTGAACAATTCAATGTTAAATAAGAAGCAAAGACAGCCTTTTCAAAAAGTTTTCAATGCTGCATTCTGTATCTTCAGAACAAATATTTAGTAAAATAAAATTCAAATATAATTGTAGTCAATTCATATCAATTTAAAGATTTCAAATCATTAAAAGTTTTAAAGATCATTTTTATATAATTTCAGACATAGTAGCACATCTTTCAGAATGTACATTATGAAAATATTTTGGTAAATGTAAATTCTAAAAATAGAAGAAACATTTAAAAAAATGTTTAACATTTTAATAAAATTTCAATTTGAAAAAAGGCCATTTTACTTCTTTCTTAAAAGAAAGATATTCATACCTTATCAAAAATATATTTGGGTGAATATGAATTATCCATATATACAAATTCATCAGTAATTTCATTATTTTTATCTGGCAATTCTTCGAAAGATTGTTTTTTGTTGGTCGTGTGTGAAAATTTCTTACTAATAGGTATATCTTTCACATTGTGCCAACTAGGATTATTAATATCGGGCAATGAAGTTGCAATTCTTCGATGACGTGAAGGAGTAGAAATGCTCAAAGGACCAGAAGCTGACATAATCCAGTCAACATCTGCTCCAGAATATGAAAGAAAACAATTCTGTCCTCCAGCTGATGAAGGTAGAGTGAGAGCATGTAAAACAGAACCATCTGGAGCACATCGAGGTAAAACACGTCGCGCTAATCGAGCTTGTACTGCTGCCATCAATCCATCGCTATCATAATTTAATTCTACAGCATCTACTGCTGAAACTAAATAAACAATTCTAGATGTTCCCATTGCTTGAGCAAGGACGGCAAAACATTCTAGTGCTGCTAGCCTCACTCTCCGTTTTGAATCTACTAGGAAAGGAGCAACAGCTTCACACAAATATGCAAATTCAAAGTTATAACTAGGAAAAGTTAAAACTGCAGCTGTTACACGATTTAATAACTCTTCACGTAGTCTTGTGTTACGCTGGTATTTACATTCAAACATATTATTCAGGACTAAAATTGGAGGATTGTAATGCATTAATCTGTGGATTATCCTTATTGTCTTTTCTCTGATAACAACTTTACCATCACCAAGATACTTTGTTATTATTGTCACAATTAATCGTAGAAACTGTCTCATATTTTCCTTCAACTTTTCTATTAAATTTTCAAATATATCAAGAGTGGACATTATAACTTTAAGGCTGTTATCCTCTAAAAATACAGACAAAATTTGCAAAAATCCATTCAAATGATTTACAATGTTTTTTGTGTCTGAAATTTGATTAATTGAAAGTTTAATTTGTTCTATGCCTTCTACACGATACCTCCAATTCTCACTAAATAATTTTTCTAATGTATGTTGATCAATTACACAAAATTCAAGTAAGACACTAGCATCTTTCTTGGATAAGGAATTAACATGGCAATTTTTGCTATTTACAGCACTGGACGGAATTAAATTATTATTATTATTATTATTATTATTATTATTATTTATGAAAGGATATGTTTCTTTCCCAGAATTCTTTTCAATTCTTTCATACATTTTTACTGCTTCTTTATCAATTCTTTGTAAATACAAATGAAAAGTATTGAAACCCACAATATCTTTAATTTTTTTCATAGCCAAAAATACTGGATAAAATAAAGTTGTATCTCCATCAATTAATAATTTTCCCAAGCATTCAATTAAAATTGATAAATTTTCGCAGGCAAAATCTTCCGTAAACAGCACATTAATACTTCGAATGGATCCCTTTCGTGTCAAATAATCACCACTCTCTAGACCAAACTGAATAAAAGATTTTAAAAACTGTTGTAAATTGTAAGTATTTCTCAAATACCAATGCAAAATTTGGACGGTTACGCAACAAACGTTAGAATTATCATGACCTAGATTGGAAATCAATTTGGATAGTATCAGAGACATACACAGATCCAAATCTTCATTCAAGTGCGGCAATATAGAAGATATTAACAATAGACACTGATATCGCACCTCCCATCTAACATCATCCAGGACATGACTCAGAACTTCGAAAACTGCGTATCGACTGGTTCCGTGAAAAGGAATGTTACCGCGATTTCTTCTAATGAGACTACGCAGACTAGTCAGAATTTCTATTCTTTTTTGTGCATTTTGTTCTAGCAGATGATGTAGGACGGCTCTAGTATCGACGTCATTATAGAAAATAGGTTTTATAGCTTCTACGCTTTCATCATTGACACTATTTCTACCATCACAGTTGGCGTAAACATATCTTGCCATTGTTTTAACGTCGAAGAACAATGTGTTTTCTTAGACAATATGACATGAAAATAACACAGAGTATTTTTTCACAGTAGACAAATAAACATTTTTGTTTTTCTTCGTAGGATGTCTTTTCATTTTGATTTTCCACTTAAGACACTTAAATCACTTCAAGAAAAGTCCAGGAAACATTATCACTTCTAAACAATACTTTTAAAAACGACTTGAAATCCATTTTATGCTTTAATCTTTTAACGGTTCTCCCCGTTGAAACTACTTCACTGGAAAACACATCAGTGACGACATATCCATTAACTGATTAATTCAGAAAATGGTGTATCATAGACATCATTCGTTATGTCTCTAATAGCTAAGTATTTACAATAAATTAATATTACTTACAAAATTTCATATTAAAAAATTCGATAAATATTTATTATAAACAAAACTAAATATTTCCGTAAATTTCATATTATGATATCATTAAAAAAATTTTAGCTGTAAAATAATCTGTATAGAATCTTATTCAAAAATATTATTTATTTATATTTTTAGAGTGAAACTAAAAAATTAATTTAATAAAAACATCAAACATAAAATTAAAATATAAATAATTCATTTATACAGCATTTTTTTTTAAAACTCTTTCCGTCACGTGGGCAGTTGAGGGCCTCTTTTTTTTGACAAGTCCATTATCGGTTCAGCCATGCCAGGCCCACAGTGGGGGAGACGGATGATGAGGGACGGGACACCCCCTTGAAAAATTCCTAGGGTTTTTGGACCCGTCCGAATTCGATACTGGTGTCCAGGGAGGAGGTATATTGCCATCTTAACTGCTCGTTCATCCGGCCGTAACACTTACATTGAATTATGTCGACGATAGAACTTACTCTATAATAGCACGTGTCTACCCCAAAAATTTTTCGGGGTGTTGGTCCTGTTCTTCATCCCCCCCGACAGCCCCGTTATGGGTGCTGGCCGGACCCACAATAGGCCTGATAAAAAGACCCTCTTAGTTCTCACAGGGCAGAAAAAGCTAAAAATAAAAACAATAATAATAAACATTCGCCATTTATCTTCTTAAAACATTATACAGTATTTATACCTTGATTGAAAATGTAAGAATAGTAACTTATATTTTATAAACGTTTTGCACAAATTAAAAAATTTGTTCTACCACCCGGTGCTCTGCTAACTACAATCCCATTAACATAAAACGGATAGAAAATCAAGAACGTGGGAGAGTGCTCTCTTAAGCCATTCGCTTATTATTATTATTATTATCTTAAAACTCTTCCGCCCTGCGGGCACTAAAAGGGTCTCTTTTAGCAAGCTCATTATGAGTTCGGACAAGCCCACAACAGGGCGGGCGAACGGTGAAAGACAGGGGCCACCATATCCGGACGGACGTCCCTCCGAAAAATTCCTGGGGATTTTAGATCCGTACGGATTCGAACCTGGGTTTCCTAGAGCGGTAGGCTGCCACCTTGACCGCTCGGCCATCCGGCCGCATATTTAGGATTTAATTATTTCAGTCGAAGCGGTAGGCTGCCACCTTGACCGCTCGGCCATCCGGCCTGGCCATATAGCCTTAGAGTGCAATGTCTCTCATTCACAAATCAATCACCAAATTTATTGCCAGCAAAATAATATTTAAACTTGAAGCCGGTCAAATAAAACATACAGCAATGCTACAAGTGGGCGATTTGCCAACGGAAAGATATCTCTCAGGAGAACTTTCTATGGGAAGATAGTACCCATTGAGGTGAAGAAAACCCGGAAAACTCCACGTGACCAACCGGTTGGAGAGCGCGCGAACCCACGACCAGTGTTCAGTGATTTTTTAGTAATAACTGAAACAGAAACGACCTCTTGATATCAAAAATATTAAAAATAAAATAGAATTTACTCTTTTATTCTCAAATCGCTTCGACGAATCCATTTATATCGCTGTCAAAAGGAACATATGTTTAAATTTTCGTACGTTGGATATAATTCCATAAGGTGGCGCCTAAGGGTACAAGTGATGTAAATAGCCACTTGGGGCGCCAAAATTTGAAAGGCATCAAAATTATGATTTGAAAAAAGTATTTCATATAAATAAAATTACTTTATATTATTAAATATACGTTTGGAAAGTAAAATAGAATTGAATAAAATCAATTTAATATTGCCGATAATTTTCTTTTCTCTGAAATTCAAATTTTCTGCCAATCTTTGAAAACCGACAAAACTGTAATTAAAGAATTTTGTATATTGATCATTAATTAATTAAACAGTAAGTTTTGTTCGGTGTTTCAATTTATGATCTAGTGTTTTTCAAATGAGGTATATCGGCACTATCTTTCGCTATCCTGATGGCCGATCGGTTAAGGTGGCAGCATATCTCTCTGAGGGACCCGAAATCGAATCCGGACGGATCGAAAAATTCCTGCGATTTTTCGGAAGATTCTCCGTCCGAATATGTCGGGCCTAGTCCTTTGCCACCCGATCGCCCCCTTGGGAGCCTTTACACAGGGCTGAAAGACTTTAAAAAAAAAAAAAAGTATCTTTGGTTGGTTACTTGACGATTCGATTCTCTTGATAATAAATGGTAAACTAATGATGAGTTAATTTTAATACAGTAAAACCTCTCCAAAACGGAAACCTGTTTAAAACGCAATAAGGGAAAGGGAAACGAGGAGGTAAACTATGAGCGCAAGTGTCTTAGTCATTTTCGAAAATTTTACAATTTCATTGGTTAAAATTCTATACCGTGGTGCGTGTAATCAACCTAGTAGAATCGTGACGTCAACAACAAAGACGAGATCGTTAAAAGTAACCAGAACAGTAGCGTGCCGCAACATTTGATGATAGGGAAGCTGTGTTTTTGTAAGAAGCCGACTTCCAGGGGCAATTAGTTAATTGCGCGTCAGTGATAGTCTAGGGTCCGTCCATTCGTATCGTTTGTTCAATATGCCAATAAAAACCGTAGACTTCTCTAAATGTATTTTAAATATCACAGTTACATACTGAATCGCCAGCCGCGATATAAGGGCTAAAATTATAAATAAAATAATAAAAACTTACTTGGTGAAATAAAATGTTTGGTGGATATACATACCTGTTACAAAATATTCTTCAATTTTATGAAGCTTTGTAAAGAAACGTACATAAAAATAACATAAAATATTCTTTACTTTTTAAATCTTAAAACAAAACTTAGTCAAATAGCTTTCTACGAGTGGAATCAGAGACGGTACTTATAGGTGCATGCACGCGGGCTGCCAAATCCCGAGGGTGTCGATACTGGTCAATGTCAAATGCCTCTTTTGTCGCATCACTCGTATACTTCAAAGGACGCGACAAAGTTGTTGTACATTTTAAACGTTTCTCACCATAGCTGTAAAAGTCTAAATATGTTAAACTTAATAGATTGTCCGTCTTTTGTTTTCTAACTAATTCGTTTTAGGACCGGTTGTTGTCCACGGAAATTTCCAAAATTTACAACTTTTCGGTCACTCTCGTTTAACTGGAAAAATGTCTGTCTTTATTACATCTAATATTACGAAGAAATCAGTCCACACTGTACTCGGCTAGAGATTGGTTCGGTTAGGCTTTTGTTTAAGTAAAATTTCGGCTCTTTGCACAATCGGAAATCCTCGAGCTTTGCAAATTCTTGTGGCTTTACTTACAGCTGAATTTTACGCGAAGCAGAAAGATATTGTACTTTAATCATGCGTGTGCTCGCATGTAGTCTAGTGGTGAGGATACCTGGCTCTCGCCCGGGTTCGATTCACCGTAACAGCCATTCTAATGACCGCACTGCGTGTCCAAATAAATAGGCTACAGTTCAACTGATGAAGTCTTTATCGTTATGTCGAGAAGCAAACAAAAATAAAAACAAAGTCTGTTTACGACGTTCGCAATCTGCAAAATAAAACTACTGGCTCGTGTGGGAGTCGAACCCACGGCCTGCGCGTTATTAGTACGACGCTCTAACCGACTGAGCTAACGAGCCGCATATACCAGGCGAATCTTTAAGAATATATTGGAGATTAGATCGTCATTCCGTTATGATTCCTCCAAACACGAAAACATATAATCGAACAATGTACTTCAACTATTTTCTCATATTTCATCGACAGACGATTACACAAATTGCGAGATCTTAAATACTAAATTACCGATTTCGCGTTCCACGAGTTTAAGGTTAGACGGAACTGCCGTTAGTAACTAATCCATCAAATTTCAACAATTGGTGCAATAATCTTCGTAATCATAAAGGAAGATTTTTCTTACTTTGCACAGAACGTGTATAAATAAGAAATAACACGAAATTACTCACGAATTCCACGACGATTAATTTGTGATCGATCCAATTCTATTAAGAAGTTCGAAGACCAACTGTTTATTGAAAGATATATACTCTCTGAAAGAGCTGTTGTGTGTACATGTATGTGATGAAATTTAGCACCTCTTGCCTTTATTCAATACAAGAAGAAATCATCTTACGTCTCTTCTGTTGGCGCCTCGAACACCACTGTATTTGTGTAGTTAAAAATAATAATAATAATAGTTTTTAAATATGCAGCCGAGAGTATGTTTATAACGTCCATTTTTATACCAGTGTCTGATTCCGAATTAAACTTTTGTTTTTTTTCTTTTTTTTTTTTTTTTGCAAAACTGCAAGTACAGTACTTTCATATTTTTATAGTCCACAGACGTGAAGGGAAACCAAGAGAAAAAAAGGCAACTTCGCACGCGAACAGAATTGGGTTCGAACTTTATTAGGTCACCTACTTAAGATAGGAGGAATTTCTTAATCACCGGAATGTGACAATGTGCGCGTAACAATGCAAAAAAATGTAATGAATTCAAATAATGGCCTGATACCCGCGCAATGCTGGGAAAGTCTAATCAGACATAAAAGGTGTAAACGCCGCGTGAATTGTGTGAATGATGTGTCTATCACTGATGGCTAACTTGTACTACAGTTCGTTCGTGACAAGCCCTACTGAGGAGGTCGATAGAGGCGAAATGCATTTAGGGATAAGTATAGAGTAAACTAAATAAAACAATTTTTTTTTTTTCAAAGCTATCCTGTTTTTCTCTTTATTTTTTTTTTTACCCTGGCTCTCATTTTGTCTAAATAAATGGAGTAGATTTTTGGAATTTTTCAGCTACCATAAGTCAGAAATAATTGAAGAATTATTTTTTCGTGTACTGGTCAATAGTAAAAATACAGATTATCTGACTCTGTTGTTTTTAAAATTTTTTTATTAATATACATTTCATATACATAAAAAATAAGAACAATAATTAAATTAACAATAATATTTAATTGAAGAATAATTTTCATATTTAAAAAAAA